AGGGTATTTGTAGTTGTAAGAAGTGTTTCTGCTCTGCCCTGGCACCCCTGCCTGGACGTGGGGTGGATTTCAGTGGGCTTTGGGACACCACTTCACTCCAGGCACAGCCTTGTGCAACCAAATCCCCTTCCACTAACGCAGACACCACGGGAGAGGAGGCTCATTTAGGCTGCAGTCTGGGTGACTTGGTTTACAGGACGCTTCAGGATGAAACAAAGCACCCGGAAAGGGTCCTTTCCCCTCCATGAGCTGCAAGGAATGCACTTGGGATGCTGTCACTCGATGAACCTCAAGGAGAGGACTGTTTTCCTGGTTTAACAACACGTATTTTATCCCAGAGAATTCAGCAGAAGTTGACTGAATACAGCAGGGAACTTGTCTTTCAAAATTCCCTCTGCCAACCCCACTCAGCACCAAGGTATGTGCGTGCCCCGCAGACCCCGTATAAGCCTTGCACTGGGAGTAAAAATCGGGCAGGGAGGCGAAAAGAAACATAGCAGTTTGTTGTGCCGCATCCTGAGGTTTTCCTTTCGAAAGGCGACAAGGGAACACTGGGCACACTTAGATATTCTTTTCTAGGCAGCATCATTGTGCCAAAAGGAAAGGCGTCGCAGAGAAAAGTGAATCAAAGCTGGAAAAAAAAAAAGGCAAATAGAGATTGGCTTCATGCTTCTTCTCCATTTTCACTTTTCTATTGCCACCCAACCTCCCTTTCACCTTCGCAGGTAGCCATGGGCCAAAGCTGGATCCAGCTGCTGGATCCTGCTTGTACACGGCTCCTGTGAGACCCTGGAGTTTCATACCCAATTCAAAAAATAAAAATAAAAAAAAATAAATAAAGAACAGGCCCAGCAGAGGAAGGGATGACTAAGGGTACTGGCAGCAGGAGGGGTGCATCACAGCATGAGTGCTCAGTGGGGAACCGGACAATGAAAAAATAAACAGTAGATTGGTTTATTTTAAGCCGTTTCCTCGACTTCCTCCAGGGCGCAGGTCATGTTTCAGTGCGCCAGCGTGCAGAAAGGATTCCCGTTTTCTCGGAATTCTGGGACAAGCCAGTGCTGCGGCCAAGTGGCCCTACCACAGCACACTGCCCACGCAACTTCAAACGGGGGATTTTTGCCATGATGTGCCTCGAATCACTGAGTGACGCGCGGGAAAGGGCACATGTGGACACCCAGGCACCAAGGGTGCCCACTGCTCCACACAACCACCACGGACACCCAAGGCATTGGGGGCGACGCCATCCATATGGAGGGCACAGGTAAGAGTGCGGGTTTTTAACCAAACTTGGCGAGTTTTTAACCAAACTTGGTGGGTTTTTAACCAAATTCTGCCCGTTCGGACAGGCCCGAAGGGAGTTAACGACACCCTCTACCTCAGCGCGGCGGGAACTGCGCCACGCGGGGCGGGGCCTGGGCGGC